GGTTTTCTTTATCCAGATTCTCTCTTTTCAGGTTCTCTCCAGGTTCTTTGTCTTTTTCTTCAGGTTCTCACTTTTCAAATTTTTGCTCGTCAGGTTTTCCTTTTTCAGGTTTCTTCATTTCAGGCTCTCTCCTTTTAGGTTCTCAATGTTTAGGTTCTCCCTTACCTCTTTCTTCAGATTCTCCCTCTCTTTTTCGGGTTCTTCTTTTTTTGGATCGCTCTCATTCTTTTGTGGTCACTCTCTCCAATCAGGTATCTCTCTCTTTTCAAGCCAACCTCTCTCTATTTCCATGTCTCTCTTTTGTTTCAGATCTTTCTTTTGAAGTTCTCTCTCTCTTCAGGTTCTCCCTTTTCAGGTTGCCTTTTTCAGCTTCTCTCTCTTCATGTTCTCACTTCCGTTCTACGTTCTCTCGCTCTCTTTAAAATTCTGCCTTTTCAGGATATCTCTCTTCATGTTTTTCAGACTTCTTTTCAGCTTTTGCTCCTCTTTTTCAAGTTCTCTTATTTCAAGTTCTTCCTTTCCAGGTTCTCTCTTCACGTTCTCTCACTTCCGGTTTTCTCTTTTCAAATTCTCCCTCTCCCTCTCCAGGTATTCGCTTCCTCCTTAGATTTTCTCCCTCTCTTTCTCCTAGGTTCTCCATCACTCGTTTCAGGTCTCTGTTTTCAGGGTCTCTCTTTACAGGTTTTTCCTTTTCAGGTTTTGTTTTTCAATTTCTCCCATTTTATGTTCTCTCTTCAGATTCTCTGTTTCTGGGGTCCCCCTTTTCAGGTTCTCCCATTTCAGGTTATCTCATTTCATGGTCTCTTAGATTTCCACTTTTCAGGTTCTCTCTCTTCACGTTTTCTTCCCTTTCTCTCTATATTCTCCCTCCTTTTTTCAGGTCTCTCTTTTCCTCTCCGTCTCATTTGATGGTCTGTTTTCAGGTTCTCGCTTTTCAGATTCCCTCTCTTTCTTACTAGGTTCTCCCTCTCTTTTTCCAGGTATTCGCTTCCTGCCACTCTCTCAGTCTATCACTCTCTCTTTCTCTAGGTTTCCTCTCGTTTTTGAGGTTCTCAGTTTTCAGCTTTCCTCTCTTCAAGTTCTTATTTTTGAGGTTTTTCTTCTTTAGGGTATCCCATTTTTCGCTCTCTCTTTTTAGTTTTTTCCTATTCAGGTACTCTCTTTTCGGGATCTGTTTTGGACGTCCTTTTTTCAGATTTCCCCCTTCTTGCTTTCCAGATTCTCTCTTTCCAGGTATCCTCATTTTAAATTCTCTTTTCATGCCCTTTCCAGATTCTCTCTTTTCAGATCCTTTCTTTTCGGCTTCTATTTCCAAACTTTCTCTTTTCGGGTTCTCTCTTTTCAGATTCTCTCCCTCTTCATTTTTAGGTTCCCTCTTACTTCAGGTCCTGTCTCTTCTGATATTATTTTCAAACTCTCTCTTTTCGGGTTCGCTCTTTTGAGGTTCTCTTTTTTCAGTTTCTCCCATTTCAGGTTCTTTCTTTTAAGGTTCTCACTTTTCAAGTTTTTCCTGTTCAGGTGTTTCTTTTTTTAGTTCTCTTGTTTCAAGTTCTCTCTTTTCAGATTCTCTCCCTTTCTCCCTAAGTTCTCTCTCACTCGTTTCGAGTCTTCTCTTTTCAGGGTGTCTCTGTTTAGTTTTTCGCTTTCCTGATTCTTTCTCTTTAGTTTCTTCCTTTGCAGGTTTTTTCTCTTCAGATTCTTTCTTTTCAGGTTGAGTTCAAACTCTATCTTTTCGAGTTCTCCTATCTTCTCAAATTCTCTCTCTCCGGCCCCCTCTTTTGAGATTCTTTTTTATGGGGTTCTCCGTTTTCAGGTTCTGTTTCTTCATGCTCCGTCTTTTCAAGTTCTTTTTTTTTTCAGGTGCTTTTTCTCCTTCCTCTTTTTACAGTCTATCTCTTCAGGTTTTCCTTTTTCAGGTTCTTCCTTGGCAGGTTCTCTCTCCAAGTTGTCTCATTTGAGGTTCTCTCGTTTCAAGTTCTTCTTCTTCAGAATATCTTATTTTCGGCCCTCTCTTTTCAAGTTTTCCTTATTCAGGTATTCTCTTTTCAGGTTCTCCCTTTTCGGACCTCTTTTCAGGTTCTCTCCAGGTTCTCCCATTTCAGGTTCTTTGTCTTTTTCTTTAGATTTTCCTTTTTCAAGTTTCCTCATTTCAGGCTCTCTCTCTTTTTAGGTTCTCACTTTTTAGATTCTCCCTTACCTCTTTCTTCAGATTCTCCCTCTCTTTTTCGGGTCCCTTTTTTAGATCGCTCTCATTCTTTTGTGATCATTCTCTCCAATCAGGTATCTCTCTCTTTTCAAACCAACCTCTCTCTATTTCCACGTCTCTCTTTTGTTTCAGATCTTTCTTTTGAAGTTCTCTTTGTTCAGGTTCTCCCTTTTCAGGTTCTCTCTCTTCATGTTTTCGGACTTCTTTTCAGCTTCTGTTCTCCTTTTTCAAGTTCTCTTATTTCAGGTTCTCCCTTTCCAGGTTCTCTCTTATAATTCTGCCTTCTCAGGTCTCTTTCCTCAGATTTTCACTTTCCAGGTTCTCTCTTCACGTTCTCTCACTTCCGGTTTTCGCTTTCCAGGTTCTCCCTCTCCAGGTATTCGCTTCCTACTTAAATTCTCTCCCTCTCTTTCTCCTAGGTTCTCCATTGCCCGTTTCAGGTCTCTCTCTTTTCAGGATTTCTCTTTATATGTTTTTCCTTGTCAGGTTCTCTCCTTTCAATTTCTCCCATTTTATATTATTTATATACTTTTCACGTTTTTTCTTTTCAGGTTCTCTTTTCAAACAGTCTTTTGTGGGCCTCCTTTTGGGGTTCTTCTTTTTCAGGTTCTCTCTCTTCAAGTTCTGCCATTTGAAATTGTACCTTTTCAGATTCTCGCTTTCCAGATTCTTTCTTTTCAGATTCTCCTTTTTCAGGTTTCCTTATTGAAGACTCTATCTTTTCAGGTTCTCACTTTTCAGATTCTCCATTACCTCTCTCTTCAAATTGTCCTTTACCTCTCTCTTCAGATTCTCTACCTCTTTTTCTCTAGATTCTCCCTCTCTTTTTTCGGATCGTTCTCACTGTTCCGTGATCCCTCTCTCCAATCAGGTTTCTCTCTCTTTTCAAAGTAACCTCTCTCTATTTCCATGCCCCTCTTTTGTTTCAGATCTCTTTCTTGAGGTTCTCTTTCTTCATGTTCTCCTTTTCCGAATTCTTTCTATTCAGGTTCTCTTTTTTCAGACTCTCTTTTCAAGTTCACCCTTTTGCAGGTCCTTTCTTTTGAGGTGTTCCCTTTTCAGTTTAACTCTCTTCATGTTCTTTCTTTTCAGACCTCTTTTCAAGTTTTCTTTCTTTAGGTTCTCTTTTCAAATTCTCCCTTTTCAGTTCTCTCTCTTCAGATTCTCACTTTTCAGGTTCTCTCTCCATGTTCTATCACTTCCGCCTTTTACTTCAAGTTTACTCTTTTTGGATTCTTGCAGTTTCTTTTGTGGTTCTCCATTTGGGGTTCTTCCCTTTCAAGTTCTCTCTCTTCAAGTTCTCCCATTTCAGACTCTACCTTTTCAGGTTCTCACTTTCCACATTCTCTCTTTTCAAGTTCTCCCATTTTAAGTTCTATCTTTAGATTCTCCCTTTTCAGGTTCTTTCTCTTCAGTTTCTTTGTGTTTAAATCCTCTCTTTTCGGGTTCTTGTTTTTGAAGTTCCGTCTTTTGAAGTTCTTTTTACTGACTCTTTTCGGATTTTCTCTTTTAAGGTTCTTCTTTTGGAGTTTTTCCCTTTCAGGTTCTTCTTTTGAAGTTCTTCTCTTTCAGTTTCTCTCTATTTAGGTAGTCTTTTGTCTTTCTTTTCAGATTATTTCAAGTTCTCTATTTTCAGGTTTTACCCTTTCAGGTTCTCTTTTCCGTTTCTCTCCCCTTTCTCTCTAGATTCTCCCTCTCTCTCTCTCCAGGTTTTCACTTACTCCAGGTTCTGTTCTCTATCTACCGGAGTTTTTTCTGTCTCTTTATCCCCCGGTTTTATTTCTCTAGTTTATGTTTTCCCGTCACTCTCTTCATCTTTCCGTGTCGTTCTTTTGCTTTCTCTCTCGCCCTCTTCCTGTCACCTCGTCCTCTCTCTTTCCATGTTCCCTACTTTTCTCCTTCTCTAGGTCTCTCTCCGAACTCACCTTCTCTTTATATCTAGTTTTAATAACGAATTGTAAGAAGAAACAAATTTAGAGTTTTAAATTTTCGCTCCAAATCTAAAGCTAAACTACGGCCGAAGCAATGACCTGGCAAAAATGAAGCACGCACTGTGTTTTTCGTGGATAAGTTACAAATAAATCGAACCCAAAATTAAAATTGGTGAAATATGATTTACTTACAAAGAGAACTTAAATGCACGTTAATCAAAGTGAACCAAGAAAAGGTCAGGAAACAAATTCCTAAAACCCACGTAGATATTATTTTGTTTGTCGGATTGTATTAATAATTACTTTCATATATTTACATCGAAACTTTCGAATAATTGATTTGGTTTTATTGTCCCGAAAGGAGAGTTTTAACATAAAGCTTAGCGAACAGTTTAGGCAAAATGGCGGGAAACCCGACTTTCGCCATAGCAACGCATTAAAAATTTACGCCAATATGAAAACAATATTCATCCAATTATTATTTACCACTTCATTTCGCAACGCAATTGTGCGTTTCCGTCACGACTGCATTTCGAAATAATATTTCTTCGACATAAACCACCTCCCCGATTATACGCGCGATTATTTCCCATGTTCCGTACAAGCGATCTGTAATTGCATCAGGGGACGCAGAATCGGGGGTTAAGTGAGTTCTTGCAATAAATCGCGTTAATCTGTCCCGAGATCGCTAATCTGGATTTATAGCGGGGTCCTGCGAAGAAATGGCGCCAAATTCGAGTTTCGGAATGGCGGCCAGCGAGCGTAATTACACGGTTTATGAACGTGTGAATGGCACTTTACGAGAGGCCGATAAATCAGACGATCAAAAACAGAACAGGGATCGAGAAAAATCGGTTACTTACTGGTGAGTGGTGACGTTGAAAAAGAGGTGGGAGTACTGGGGGGCCGAGTCCTCGGGGCCGTGAGGGGCCGGGAACGACATGGTCAGCATGACGGGCTTGTGGGCGCTGTTTTTCTTCGACTGGCGCAGGAAGGCGATGGAGTCGTTGGCTATCAGGTCGGGGTAGTAGTCCTGAAAAGAATTTTTCATGAGGAAAAATTTTTTAGAAAATGTTGTTTGTGGCTTTGGATTCGCGTCTCTAAAAATAAAGCACCAGCCGCCCCCTGAGATTCTTTCAGCAAGCGGAATGACCTGTGTTACACTAGTTCTAAAAACGGAAACGTCAGTCGCCCTGGGATTTTTTTCCGTCATTTTTTCTTTTATTTATTTAAACGGAAATTATTCTCAGAATTAACTACTTATTAATATCATATAATACTAAAACTATCAACCTAAAAATTTTTGACAGAATAATCAATCCACTAAATTTGTTAACAACTATTTAAACTTAAAAAACAAAATGGAGAAATAAAGCTTGAGATTTTTTCAGTGAGATAGTCATGAAATCTTTCTTTTGGACCACTTTTCTTTGTCATATATCTCTTTTTCTCTTTTTCTCCACATACTCTATATTTCTCTGTAAGTTGTCTTTATCTTCAGGCTCTATATCTCTTTCCAAATTCTTTCTCCTTCGCCACAGGTTCGTTCCTGTCTTCCTCCACAGTTTCACCCTTTCCCTCTCTTGCTTCAGTTTCCTTTCTTGGTTCTGCCCAGACTATTTCTCTCTAGAGGGTCTGTTTTCAGGTTTTCTTTTTTATTTTTCCATTTCCAAATTCTCCTTTTTCATATTTTCCTTTTGAACTTCTCTCTCGTCAGATTCTTGCTTTTCAGGTTATCTTCTTCCTCAGATTCTCTGTTCCACCCCAAGTTCTCGTTCTATCTCTCCAGATTCTCTCTGACTCTCTTTCCCATCGGGTTCTCTTACCCTCTCTCTTCCCCCCTTTCTGTTTCAGTAATTTGTCTCCCTCTTTCTCTAGATTATCTCTCTTCAAGTTCTCTTTCACTCCATCTACCTTTTTTTTCTGCAAGTTTTGTCTTTTCCTCTTCAAGCTCTCTTTCCCTCTTTTTCTCACTACGGCTCGCTATCTCCCTCTTCAGAATCTTCTCTTCTTTCTCTACATTCCCCGTTTTTCCCGATTTTTTATCTCATTCTTTCTCCCCAAATTCTCTCAGATTTTTTCTGTCTAGATCTGTCTCCTCAGATTTTTAATGTCAATTTCTCCTTTTTCATCTCCTCTCTTTTCAGGTTTACTCTCGTCTGATTCTTACAATTCACACTATATCCCTCCTTTCAACTTCTCTTTCTCTTTCTCTCTTTTTTTCTTCATATACTCTCCTTTTCTCTTAAAATTATCTTTTTCTTTCACTTCAGACTCCCTCTCTCTCACTCGGCTCTCTATCCGTCATTTGGGTTGTCTCCTCAGGTTCTCGAATCCCCCCTCTCTTTTCTGAAGGTTATTTTTGTCTGTATGCGTCTACATTCTCTCTCTTCAAATTGTCTCTTATCAGATTCTCTCTCTCTCTGTGTGTGTGTTTTTTTCTCCAAGTTTCCAGGTCTTTTCTTTTCAAAATTACTCCTTTTAAGCTCTCTCTCTCTCTCTCTTCAGGTTCCAGCTCTTTATGTTCGTATTCTTTCTTCAAGGTTTCTTTGTCTTTCTCTCTATATACCCTTTTTTCCACCAAGTTTTCCGTCTTTTTCTCTTCAGAGTCTCTTTCTCACAGGCGCACTACCTCTCTTCAGGTAGGTTCTCTTCCTTTCTATCCAGATTCTCCTTTTTTCCCTGTTTAGGTTCTTCCTGTTTCATTATTCCAGGTTCTGTTTTTTCTCGCTAAATTCTCCTCCCCCCTCTCTAATTCTCGCTCCAGATTCTCTTTCTCTACATTCGCTCTCTCTAGATTCTCTGTGCGTGTCTAGACTATCTCTCTCTAGAATTTCTCCCTTTCTCTAGATACTCACTTTCCAGATTCTCCCTGTTTCTAGATTCTCCTTCGTTCTAGATTTCTCTCTCTCTCCTTCTCTCGATTCTCCATATACTCTCTTTTTCAGTAGCCTCTCTACTTGTCTCTCCAAGTTTTTATCTTCAGATTGACTCCCCCTTTCTCTCCAGATTATTCCCCATTTCTATTCCACTATTTTTTCTTCTCTCTGTCTCACCCCAGATTTCTTTTCAAATTCTCCATTTTTTTAATAAGCTGTTTTTTCCAAATTCTGTTTTCAGGTTTTCTCTTTTCAAATTCTTCCTTTTAAGTTCATTTTCGTCAACTTCTTGTTCTTCAGATTCTTGTTATTTCTAAAATACTCCTTTTCGATCTCTCTATGTACCGTTTTTTTCTTAAAACTCTCCGTCCTATTTCTCTTTAGACTGTCCTTCTGCACTCCAGGCCCTCTCCTTCTCTCCAGATTCGCTCTTCCCCTCTTTTTCTCTCTAGATTATTTCTTTCTCTCTAGATTCTCTCTTTAGACTCTTTTTCTCTAGAATCTCTGTGTCTAGATTCTCTCTCCCTTTAGATTCTCCCCCTTTCTAGATTCTCTCGCTCTCTACGTTCTCCCTTTCTCTAGATTCTCCTTCGCTCCAGATTCTCCATTTTCCAAATTCTCCCTTATTCCAGATTCTCCCTGTTCCTAATTCTCCCTCGTTCTAGCAACTGTGTTTCTCTCTAGATTCTCCATATACTCTCTTTCTCAGTAGCCTCTCTACCTGTTTCTCCAAGTTTTTATCTTCAAGTTGTCTCCTCCTTTCTCTCCAGATAATTCCCCATTTCGTTCTCTTCTCTGTTTCACCCCAGGTTTTCTCTTTCTTTTTCTTCAGCTTTTCTCTCTCTTTTTTCTCAAGTTCTCCCTATCCCCTTCTCTTTCTCCGCAGATTCTCTTTGTTTCTTTTCAAATTCTCCTTTTTTTTCTTTGAATAGACTGTTTTTTTTTTCAAATTCTTTTTTCAGGTTTTCTCATTTCTCTTCAAGTTCTTCCTTTTAAATTCATTTTCGTCAACTTCTTGCTCCTCAGATTCTTAGTGTTTCTAAAATACTCGTTTTCTTTCTCTCAAATGACTTTCTTTTTTCTTTAAACTCTCGTCCTCTTGGTCTTCAGACTCTCCTTCTCTCTTTCTCCCCAGAGTTCGCTACCTGTCACTTCCAGTTCTCTCTGTGCAGGATCTTTCCCTATCTATCCTGATTCTCCTCCTCTTTCTCTCTGGATTCTGTCTGTTGCATTCCAGGCCCTTTCCTTCTCTCCAGATTCTCTCTTACCTTCTTTTTCTCTCTAGATTCTTTCTCTTTAGATTCCTTCTCTCTAGACCCTCTACCTAGATGCTTCTTCTCTAGTTGTCTAGGTCCTCTCTCTTTAGATTCTCCCTCACTCTAGATTCTCCGCCGTCTATATTCTCCTCCTCTTTAGATTTTCCCCTTCTATGTATTCTCCCTCTCTCCAGATTGTTTCTCTTTCTAGATTCTCTGTCTCTCTCTAGATTCTCCATATACTTTCTTTCTCAGTAGCCTCTCTCCCTGTTTCTCCAAGTTTTTATCTTCAGGTCGTCTCCCCCTTTCTCTCCAGATAATTCCCCATTTCGTTCTCTTCTCTGTTTCACCCCAGGTTTTCTCTTTCTTTTTCTTCAGCTTTTCTCTCTCTTTCTTTTCAAGTTCTCCCTACCCCCTTCTCTTTCTCTGCAGATTCTCTTTGTTTCTTTTCAAATTCTCCTTTTTTTTCTTTGAATAGACCATTTTTTTTCAAATTCTCTTTTCAGGTTTTCTCATTTCTTTTCAAGTTCTTCCTTTTAAATTCATTTTCGTCAACTTCTTGTTCTTCAGATTCTAAGTGTTTCTAAAATACTCGTTTTCTTTCTCTCAAATTACTTTCTTTTTTCTTAAAACTCTCGTCCTCTTGCTCTTCAGACTCTCCTCCTCTCTTTCTCCCCAGAGTTCGCTACCTGTCACTTCCAATTCTCTCTGTGCAGGATCTTTCCCTATCTGTCCTGATTCTCCTCCTCTTTCTCTCTGGATTCTCTCTGTTGCATTCCAGGCCCTCTCCTTCTCTCCAGATTCTCTCTTACCTTCTTTTTCTCTCTAGATTCTTTCTCTCTCTCTAGATTTTCTATCTCTAGATTCCCTCTCTCTAGATTCACTTTCTCTAGATTCTCTCTTTAGACTCTTTTTCTCTAGAATCTCTATGTGTCTAGATTATCTCTCCCTTTAGATTCTCCCCCTTTCTAGATTCTTCCTTTCTCCAGATTCTCCCTTCTTCCAAATTCTCCCTTATTCCAGATTCTCCCTGTTCCTAAATTCACCCCGTTTCTCTCTAGATTCTCCATATACTCTCTTTCTTAGTAGCCTCTCTCCCGGTTTCTTCAAGTTTTTATCTTCAGGTTGTCTCCCCCTTTCTCTCCAGATAATTCCCCATTTCGTTCTCTTCTCTGTTTCACCCCAGGTTTTCTCTTTCTTTTTCTTCAGCTTTTCTCTCTCTTTCTTCTCAAGTTCTCCCTACCCCCTTCTCTTTCTCTACAGATTCTCTTTGTTTCTTTTCAAATTCTCCTTTTTTTTCTTTGAATAGACTGTTTTTTTTCAAATTCTCTTTTCAGGTTTTCTCATTTCTTTTCAAGTTCTTCCTTTTAAGTTCATTTTCGTCAACTTCTTGTTCTTCAGATTCTTATTGTTTCTTAAAATATTCCTTTCCTTGTCTCTATACACCTTTTTTTTCTTAAAACTCTCCGTCCTCTTTCTCTTCAGACTCTCATCTCTTTTTCCCCAGAGTTCACTACCTGTCACTCTCTTTGCAGAATCTATGTCTATCTGTCCCGATTCTCTTCTTTTTCTCTGGATTCTGTCTGTTGCACTCCAGGTCCTTTCCTTCTCTCCAGATTCTCTCTTCCCCTCTTTTTCTCTCTAGATTGTCTCTTTAGATTCTTTTCCTCTACAATCTCTATGTGTCTAGATTCTCTCTCCCTTTAGATTCTCCCTCAGTCTAGATGCTTCCCTTGTCTATATTCTCTCCTTTTCTAGATTGTGCCCCTCTCTACGTTCTCCCTTTCTCTAGATTCTCTCTCTATCCAGATTCTGCTTTATTCCAGATTCTCCCTCTTTCTAGATTCTCCATATACTTTCTTTCTCAGTAGCTTCTTTACCTGTCTCTCCAAGTTTTCTCTTCAGGTTGTCTCCACCTTTCTCTTCATATTATTTCGCACTTCGTTCTCTCCTGGTTCTCTCTGTTTCACCCCACCTTGACTCTTTTTTTGTCTTCAGTTTTTCTCTCTTTTTCTCAAGTTCTCCCTAACCATCCTATCTCTTTTTCTCCGCAGATTCTCTTTCCATCTGTATATATATTCTCTTTTCTGGTTCTCTCTTATAAGAATTTTTCTTTCTCTCGTTTCAAATTCTCCTTTTACTTTCAATGGACTGTTTTTTCCCAAATTCTCTTTTCTCTATCTCTGGATTCTGGATTCTCTATCTCTAGATTCTCTCTGTTTAGATTCCTTCTCTCTAGATTCTCTCTCCTTAAATTCCTTCTCTCTAGACTCTTTACCTATATTCTTTTTCTCTAGATGTCTAGATCCTCTCTCTTTAGATTCTCCCTCACTCTAGATTCTTCGCCGTCTATATTCTCCCTCTCTCTAGATTGTTCCGCTTTCTAGATTCTCTGTCTCTCTCTAGATTCTCCATATACTCTCTCTCTCAGTAGCCTCTCTACCTGTCTCTCCAAGTTTTTATCTTCAGCTTTTCTCCCTCTTTCTCTCCAAATTATTTCCCATTTCGTTCTCTCCAGGTTCTCTCTGTTCCACTCCAGCTTAACTCTTTCTTTCTCTTCAGCTTTTCTCCCCTTTTTTCCTCAAATTCTCCCTAACCACTCCTCTCTTTTTCTCCACAGATTCCCTTTCCATGTGGATGTATCTATATTCTCTTTTCAGGTTCTCTCGTATCACAATTTTCTTTCTCTTTTCAGGTTTTCTCTTTTTAAGTTCTCTCTTTTAAGTTCTCTTTCGTCAGCTTCTTTTTCTTCAGATTTTTACACTTTCTTCAAATTCTCCTTTTCTTTCTCCCTTTAGACTCTTTTTTTCTCCAAAATTCTCCGTTTTCTTTTTTTTCGCTCTTTTTGTTTCTCCCAAGAATTCGCCACCTGTCTCTCTTTACAAGTTCTTTCCCAATGTATTCTGTCTCTCTAGATTCTGTCTGTCGCATTCCAAGCCCTCTCCTCTCCAGATTTTCTCTTCCCTTTTTTTTCTCTCTAGATTCTTTCCCTCTACATTCTCTCTCCCTCTCTTTCCAGATTTTCTATCTCTAGATTCTTTCTTTAGATTCTTCTTCTCTAGAGTCCCTCTGTGTGTAGATTCTCTCTCTCTTTGTTCTTTCTTTCGAAGTTTTCTCCCGTTAGGTTCTGACTCTTCGCGTTTTATTTTTTCTTCAAGTTTTCGTTCTCTTCCTCTTTAAAATCTTTCTCTCATTTTTACTACGGCTTTCTACCTCTCCATTCTCTTTGTCTTCAGGTTTTTTGTCTCTCTTTCTCCCCAGAATTCGCTACCTGTCTCTTTTAGTTCTCTCTTTGCAGGTTCTCTCCCGATCTGTCCAGATTCTCCTCCTCTTTCTATCTAGATTCTGTCTATTGCTCTCCAGATCTTCTCATTCTCTCCAGAATATCTCTTCCCCCCTCTTTCTTCCGATTTTCTCTCATGAGTTTCTGTCTCTCTAGATTCTCCCTCTGCAGGTTATCTCTTGTCAGATTCCCGATCTCCCTTCAAGTTCTCCTTTTTCTCTCTATATACATACCTCCTTTTTTTCGTCATTTGAAGTTATCTCTTGTTGCGTTCTCTCTCGTTAGGTTCTGACTCTTCGAATTCTTATTATTTCTTCACGTTTTCTTTCTCTTGCCTCTTTCTATCCAGATTCTTCTTTTCTTTCACTCCACATATTACTCTTTTTTTCTCAAAGCTCTCCGTTCTCTTTCTGTCTTTCTCCCCACAGTTCGCAACCTGTCTCTTCCACTCCTCTCTTTGCAGGTTCTCTCACGATCTGTCCATATTCTCCTCTTCTTTCTCTCTAGATTCCGTCTGTTGCTCTCCAGGTCCTCTCTCTCTTTCTCTCGACTCTTTCCCTCTAGATTTTCTCTCTCTAGATTCTTTCTCTTTAAATTCTCTTTCCCTAGGCTCTCTCTATCTAGATTCCCTCTCTTTCTGGATTCTCTCTCTCTGGACGGTTTTTACCTAAATTCTCTCTTCTCGAATCTCTCTCATTAGATTGTCTTCCTCTAGATTCTCTCCTCGATTTTCTCGCATGGGATTCTATCTCTGCAAATTCTCTCTCTTATCAGATTCCCGATCTCTCTTCAAGTTCTCTTTTTTCTCCTTGTTCTTTCTTTCGAAGTTTTATCATTTGAAGTTCTGTATTTTAAGGTTCTCTTTCATTAGGTTCGGACTCTTCGAGTTCCTATTCTTTCTTCAAGTTTTCTCTCTTCAGATTAGCTTCCCCTTTCTGTCCAGATTCTCCTTTTCTTTCTCTCTGGGTGTTGTCTGTTTCTCCGACGTTCTATCTCCCTCTCTTTTAGTCTAGGTTCCCCCATTCCTCTTCTCCTCTCCCATTCTATAATAATTTCTCTTTCTCTCTAGATTCTCTCTCTTCGGGTTCTTTAACTCCGCGTCATTCTCTCTCTCTCTTTCTTTCCGCATTGTTTCGACTCTTCTCTTCTCATCGTTTTCTCTCTCCGCCCAGTTTTCAATCTTTCCCTCTTTACGTGTTGTTATTTCCATTTCTCATTTATCTTTTGCGTCAGAATATTTAGAAAATTAGTCGAACAAATTCAGTTTCGAAAAATGATAAAATTTGAAAATTTGATTTTACTTAATTTTATTTATTTTATAATTCCTACAACTTAAAAAATATCTGTATTTTATAAACCAGTCACAATGTAAGAAAAAAAATGGCCCGTGAGGAAATCGAACCGGCGACCTCCGCGTGATTGGGTGGATGCAATTTCCGCTATTGTTGGAAAATTTATTTGCCAAAGATAACTAAGGCGGATTCAAAAACCACAAGTACAGAGAGTATGCTATTTTATGAAATTGAAATGGTTTTTAGTATCGGAGATTTCTATTTCATCAAAATTAACACAGACTGACCTTTTCATACTCTATACGCAATATTGCTTTAGCCCGCGCTCGGGAAGTATAAAGATTATGAAGGAATTAGTGAACTTCCGAGATTTTTTTGAGCAAACGAAGCGAATGAGAAACTAGTCTCGGTCTGAAACTCTTTCAGAGGGAGAAATAAGCCGTATTAGGCGCTTCAGTGTTAAAAATGAAAAACCAACCATGCCTGAGAACTTTCAACAAAGGAAACAAGCTGCATTTTTACACTTCTAATTGCTCTGGAATTTTCTACGCGCTTTATACTAACATGATAAATGGTTTATGACAATTCGTTCGTCGTTTCAATCATCTCAAAATTTTGCGAAGTAAATCTCGCGTGTAATTTATAGTGTGACATGGAAGGAAGAATCTATTTTACTCAGTATTAAATAAGTATGAGTAGTATGAGACGCCCTGTGACGTGACGACCAACCGAACTGTCAAACACTCGCGCCACCTATCCAAAAATAACGCTAATCAATTAGTTGTGTCCCAAAACCGGTAGCTGCCACTAATGTAAGCAACATCGTTAACAGGTCCTCAAAATGTTCTCATTCCGGTGACACCTCGCCTGAAAACCCGACCTCTTCAAACTCATCTCGTGTCTTCTCCACAATGCACTCCCAAGCCGTAAACTTTTTCGTTCGTTATTAGTTTCACGTAACAACCCAACACAAAATAATAAAACGGCATTCCATGGCAAAACTTCGTTGCTCGATCACGGTTTGAGTGTTGTTTGTCTTTTATTTACATCGCGGTATTACGAAATTCTTATAACGCAAATACCTGTCCGTAATCAGAAAGGAATTTCAATTAAGGCTGTAATTAAATTCAAATAGGAATTTTTAAAATATATAACAAATTATTGCGCGATGATTAATTATCGATGACTCATCGAGCAATAAAAATATTACCTTAACAAGAAGAACGGTTTCTAGGCCAGACGTTGAAAAAATCTCACCTTGTGATAGTCGAAACCGTGCTTGATTTTCTTCCCGTTCATGTTGATGGAGTAGTTGTAGTATTTGGAGTTCATGATGAGCCCCCCCCACTCGCGCCACCCTGGAGGGACGTAGGAGCCGTTGTACTTGTTGAGGTATTTTCCGAAGTAGCCTGCAACAGACGATTTTTTTTCATTAGTTATTCGGTTCGAATTAGCACTGGTGAATACACACCCTGTATATTTTTGCATGATTAGATGTGGCATTTGTATAATACGACTTGGTCATGAATATTAATTACGAAAAATGATACAAGCGTTTATTAACTGAGGAATCTCGGTCGGGTGGGATGGTTTATGTCTCGAGTTGATTAGGAGACGATTTAAATGGGTGAAATGAACGTAGTGTGACGAAAGTGCGTCTAAACACCTTATTTGGGTCTATTTTTGGGACTACTGTTGATTCAACAGTAAACTTTTAAATATTGCGGAAGATCTTTCAAATCAATCAAATAAAATAGGTCCTAAAACACAACTTTGGGAGAACCCATACTTTATCTTATTTTGGGAGTAACGCTGAGAGTCTAGTCAATTTCAAAGACCTTGTGGTCTGTAGACAAAAATTTTGAAGAACATTTGGGACCATCGAGTTTTGTTTTTTAAAATACGTATTTGAAAGAATTTTGAGATTCCTAGCGTCTCCTTTTAAGAATTTGAAAAAATCCTGTGGTACCGTGATGTTTTTTCAGAATGAGTTTAAAAAAATCTCGGAAGATCTCGGTGTTTTGCTTCAGAACGCAGTTAACTGAATCTTGGCATTCTGGTGGTTTGTTTTTCAAAGAGATTTAAAAAACCGTGGTGAATTTGGTGTTTTGTTTTTGAAATAATTTTAAGAAATCTCCTGGTATTTTATTTTTGAAATTATTTTTTAAAATCTCGGGAGTCTTTTGTTTTCGACAGATATTAGATACTAGATAATAGATAATAGTCTTGGATTTTTTTTGTTTTATTTTTAAACGCTGGATCGGTAGCGTCTTTTTCACAAAATGTAAAAGAATCTTGGAATGATCCTGGTATGTTATTTTTAAAGACATAAAAGAAGTATGGAGACCCCTATTTAAAAAAAGGTTTCTGGTGTTTTTCTCGTTTTTTTTTTTAAGAAATTAATCGTATTTTGAGGTCTTTGGTGTTTTGTTTCTGAAAAATTTTTAAAGAATCTTGGGATCGCCAAAATCTCTTTTTAATTTAAAAGAGGCTTGGGGATTCCAAATTTGATTTTGAAATAATTTCAAAAGTCTCTGGTGTATTTTTTTAAGAATTTAAAGAATTCCTGGTGTTTTGCTTTTAAAATAAATTAAAATAACTTTGTGAATTTTTTCGTCATGTTTTTAAAATAATTTAAAATCATCCTCAGGTCTCCTGTTGTATTTATTGTTTTTAAAACCATAAATACCCATTGAAGATCCTGTTTCTGTATTTTTGAAAGAAATTTAAAAACCTTGGGGGTTTTTGATGTTTTATTTTTGAAAGAATCTGAGGATTTTTGGCGTCTTAAAAAAATTAAAAGAACCTTGGTATCCTTGGTGTTTTGTTTTTGAAAGAATATTAATGATTTTTTTTTTAATTTAAGAGTCTTAGGCCGAAGGCACTTTGTTCTTGAATTTTTTTTTTTAATCTTTAGATCTTTAGTATTTTGTATTTGAAAGACATTAAAAGAACCTTAAGGACCCTGGTGTTTAGTTTTTGAAAGTTATTAAGACAATCCTGGGTGCTTTTGATATTTTGTTTTTAGAAGAATTTAAAAGAATGTGGGGCGCCATTGCTGCTTTAAGTTCTCAAAAATTTGAAAGAACCTTTTGGTCTCTAGTGCCTTTTTCTTTTGAAAGAATTTGAAAGAATTTTAGGGTAGATAATGTCTTCTTTTTAATAACTGAAAAGTCTCTAGGTCTTGTTTCTGAAAAAATCTAAAAGAATCTTTTTTTTTAATCTCTAGGTCCGTAGCGTCTTTTTTAAAGAATGTAAAAGAATCTTGGGAGGATCCCAGTATGTTATTTTTAAAGACATAAAAGAAGCATGGAGACCCTTTCAAAAAAAAAAACAAAAATTTTGCTGTATTTTTTTAAGAATTTAATCGTATCTTAAGATCTTTGATGTTTTTTTTTTTTTGAAAAAATTTAAAAGAAGAGTCTTGGGATCCCAAATTTTTTGATTTTGAAAAAATTTTAAAGGTCTCTGGTGTTTTCTTTTTAAGAATTTAAAAAATCCCTGGTGTTTTGCTTTTAAAATAAATTAAAATAACTGTGTGAATTTTTTCGTCATGTTTTTAAAATAATTTAAAATCATCCTCAGGTCTCCTGTTGTATTTATTATTTTTAAAACCATAAATACCCTTTGAAGATCCTGTTTCTGTATTTTTGAAAGAAATTTAAAAAACCTTGGGGGTTTTTGATGTTTTATTTTTGAAAGAATCTGAGGATTTTTGGCATCTTAAAAAAATTAAAAGAACCTTGGTATCCTTGGTGTTTTGTTTTTGAAAGAATATTAATGACTTTTTTTTAATTTAAGAGTCTTAGAGGCCGAAGGCTCTTTGTTCTTGAATTTTTTTTTTAATCTTTAGATCTCTAGTATTTTGTATTTGAAAGACATTAAAAGAACCTTAAGGACCTTGGTGTTTCGTTTTTGAAAGTTATTAAGACAATCTTGGGTGCTTTTGATATTTTGTTTTTAGAAGAATTTAAAAGAATGTGGGGCGCCATTGCTGCTTTAATTTCTCAAAAATTTGAAAGAACCTTTTGGTCTCTAGTGCCTTTTTCTTTTGAAAGATTTTGAAAGAATTTTATGGTAGATAATGTCTTCTTTTTAATAATTGAAAAGTCTCTAGGTCTTGTTTCTGAAAAAATCTGAAAGAATCCTTTTTTTTAATCTCTAGGTCCGTAGCGTCTTTTTTAAAGAATGTAAAAGAATCTTGGGAGGATCCCAGTATGTTATTTTTAAAGACATAAAAGAAGAATGGAGACCCTTATAAAAAAAACAAAAATTTTGCTGTATTTTTTTAAGAATTTAATCGTATCTTAAGATCTTTGATGTTTTGTTTTTGAAAAAATTTGAAAGGTCTCTGGTGTTTTCTTTTTAAGAATTTAAAAAATCCCTGGTGTTTTGGTCTTGAAAGAAATTCAATAACTGGGTTTTTTTTGTTTTTAAAATAATTAATTTAAAACAATTTTCAGGAATCCCGTTGCATTGTTTTTAAAAAACATTAAAATATTCCTGAAGACTCTGTTTTTGAAAGAAATTTAAAAACCTTGGGGGTTTTTGATGTTTTATTTTTGAAAAAATATGAAAGAATCTTTAGATTTCTAGTATTTTGTATTTGAAAGACATTAAAGGAACCTTAAGGACCCTGGTGTGCCCTTTTTGAAAGGTATTAAAACAACCTTGGGGATTTTAGATATTTTGTTTTTAGAAGAATTTAAAAGAATGAAAAAACCTTTTGGTATCTAGTGTCGTTTGTTTCTGAAAAATTTGAAAGAATTTTTTTGTGTCTGGCGACTTTTTTTTTGAAAGAAATTAAAAGTATCTTGAGTGCCTCCAGTGTTTTGTTTTTGAAAGACTTTATAAGAACCTAAGGGACCCTGATGTTTTCTTTTTGAAAGAAATTGAAAGAATCTTAAGGTAACTGATGCCTTTTTTTAAGAATTTAAGTGTCTAAGGGGTTCTAAGTTTTTTGTTTTTGAAAAAAAATTAAAGAATCTTTAGGTCTCTGGTGTTTTTTTCTTTTGAAAGAAATTAGAAGTATCTTGAAGGCCGTAGTGTTTTGTTTCTGAAAGAGATCAAATCGTCGTTGCTGCTTTCTTTGGGCTCTAGGTTTTTTTTTAAACAATTTGACAAAATCTTTGAGTCTCTAGAGTCTTTTTCTTTTGAAAGAAATTTTGGCTTTTGGTATTTTGTTTTTAGAAGGATTTAAAAAAATCTGGGACTCCATTGCTACTTCCACTTTGAAAAAATTTGAAAGAATCTTTGCGTCTCGAGTGTCTTTAATTTTAAAGAGTTGAAAACAATCCTGGGAACTCCTGTTTTATTGTTTTTGAAAGACATTAAACGAACCTGGTCTTGTATTTTTTAAAGAACTTGAAAAACCCTTGGGGCTTTTGGTGTTTTATTTCTGAAAGATTTTGGAAAAATCTCTTCTGAAAGAATTTAAAGTGGTCTTGGGAGCTCCAGGTCTTTTGTTTTTGAAAAAAATTCAAAGAATCTTGAGGTTTCTTTCGTCTCTTTCTTTTGAAAGAAATTAAAAGAATCTGTGAACGCCATTGCTGCTTTCATTTTGAAAAAAATCAAAGAATCTTTGGGTCTTTGGTGTCTTTGTCTTTAAAAAATTTGAAAGAATCCTAGAGACTCCCGGTATACTGATTCTGTAAGACATTAAAAGAACCTTTGTGATCATGGTATTTTATTTTTCAACGAGATTAAAAAAAATCTTGAAGACTTTTGGTGTTTTATTTTTGAAAGAATTTGAAGGAATCCTAGGATCTCCAATGTCTTTTCTAAAGAATCTAAAATAACTTTGGAATCATTGGTGTTTTCCTTTTGAAAGAATTTGAAAGAATCTTGGGTTCGCTCTTTTTTAAGAATTTAAAAGAATTTTAGGAGCTCCAGGTTTTTGTTTTTGAAAAAATTTTAAAGTATCTTGAGGGTCTAGGGTGTTTTATTTTTGAAGGAAATTAAAACAGTTTTGAGGACCTTTGGTGTTTTGTTTTTACAGATATTTTAAGGCATCTAGGGTACCATGGCTCTTTTTTTTTTATTTTAAATAATCTTTGGGTCTTTGGTGTCTTTGCTTTTAAAAAATTTGAAAAAATCCGGAAGCGCCGGTGCTGCTTTCATTAAAAAAAAATTGAAAGAATCTTCTAGTGTTTTTTTATTTTTAACGAATTGTTTTTGAAAGACATCATTAAAAGAACGCTGGAGACTTTGGTATTTCATTAAAAAAAAAAAGAAAAAACCTGGGGGTTCTGATTTTTTATTTTTGAAAGAATCTGAAAGCATCTTAAGGTCTTTGGCGTCTTTAAAAAAAATTATAAGAACTTGGGATCCTGGGTGTTTTGTTTTTGAAAGACATTAAAAAAAGGATTGAAAGGATGAAAGGATGAGAGGATATGAGAATAAGAAAATG